TTGTTTGAAGGCGAGCCGCAAAGTGCGGTCTGCGCGCCCATTGGCCGCGCCCGCCACGTGGTCGCCCCTGGCCCCGCCCACCCCTCCGGGACTCTCGGGCTGCGGCCAGAGCCCGAGAACCGGCCGCCGAGGCCCCCCTCCTGGGTGGGCGGGGGACACGTCGTTAGTCTCGTGGCCGGGAGGGAAAGGCAGTGGTTCAGCAGGCCCATTCTCCTGCCCCGGCCGGCCAGTCTGGGGTCCGCGGCTCCGCCGGCCTGCGGGAGCGGCCCCAGTGCGCAGGCGCCGGAGGGAGGTCGTGGGAAGAAAAGCCGGCGCGGGCCGCAGCGCGCACGCGCGGGTGTTTGCGACCGCGCTAAAGCCCTGGCCGCGGTGGCCGCTGCCCCGCGGCGCACCCTGAGGGCCGCCCTTTCTGGGCTTCTTCATTTAGGCCGCGGTGCTTGTAGAGACTGGGGACAGGCGGGTGGCTTCAGGCGGTCCTGGCCCTCAGCGCCCCCGGACAGAAAGTGTCCAGTCGCACACTCCAGCTTCTGCGCGTTTTTAAGGGGTGCTCACCTAAGCACCCCTTAAGGGTGGAGAAAGGGCTTCAGGCTGGAGGTTCGTCTGGCAACCCCATGACCACTGACATTGCACATTACTCTGTTTCTACCTTGAACTAGAAACGTAAGCTTAAATGGCCAAATTCAGTTGGGTTTGTCACCGGAGATCATCACCGCTGTGTAGCGATTCAGGGAGAAATTGGTTAAAGATTATTCAGACCAATCTATACCCGCAGAAGGCACTAGACTTCTTAGAGTACTGGTCTCTCTCTTCAGATGTTGTGAAGAGGAACTACGTAGATCCATTGTGCGGGCAAAGGACTCATCTAGTTATATTCTGTTGGAGAAAGGAAGCTTTGTGTCGAATATCCGTAATTGATGCAGTCACAAATGGCTGGTCTCAGATAAGCATTAGCAAGTTTGTCTTTCCCCCTCCTTTGACAAGTCTGTCTTCTGTATGGTCACATTACCATCAGCAACTTTGTCTCTCAGATGACCATTAGCAAGTTTGTCTTATCCTGTTCCTTGCATTTTCTCTTCCCTTTTTTGGACAGGTTTGCGTTCTTGTATTCCAAGGAAAGGGGAGTCAAGCAGCAGATGCAGAAAAAGCAAGTTGGCACCCGGGTCTGTGCTGACCCCAGCTCCTTCTCCTTTGCAGACCCTTGCCCACCTTCCCCTTTTGTTTAGCCTTGTATAGGTAGCCCTGTGGTGTGCGAGGCAGCAGGACAGTGGTCTTTCGGACAAGTCGGCTGCCCTCCTTTTTTGTTGGCAAATTAAACCACTTTTCTTTTCCTCAAACTCTGTTTCCTTTTATTGGCGGAGGGAAACCAAGGCCAGGGTTGGGTAACACAAAGACCTCTCACTCTGCGTGCAGACTCAACCTTCTCTGGGAGTAGCCCAAGGCCGAGGCTTATCGAAATTTCTGACTCTGCCAGAGCTTGCGCCTGTAGTACTGAACGCAGTGTCTGCAGCTTATCTGGGGCTCCTTCCCTGCAATTTGCACCAGGCAAGGGAGAGGGTCGCCTTGGTGTGTTGATTTGGCTGCATGGCACTTCACAGAAAAACAGTTCACTCTTTGTTTTCCTGCATGCTGACTTCAAGCTGCTCACCCTGCAGCATCCCAGAGCAGAGGGATCTGCATGCAGTAGGATTTACTTTCAGTCTACAGGTTACTGTAGAAAAAGTTTGCAATGTGAAAGTTGTTTCCTGGAATTCTTGGAGATGACTCCAAAATATTGAAAACAAGCCACGTGGCCATCTTCCGTGAGGTGGGGATAAACTGGCAGCTGCTGCAGCCCACATGGCTGGACCTCCCTGGAGGAAGTGGGCCTCCTGATCAGTGTTGCCAGGGCCTTCCTTCCTCACTGAAGAAAGTCTGAAGCCCCCAGAGCAACATGCAAAGCCCTGTGGCCTGTTTTCAATAATTTTCATCCCTGCAGCCCTCTTCAACCTTCCTGACCTCAAGCAGGCTGGGCACCTCTGCTTCAGGGCTGCTCTCCGCCTGGAATGTGGCAGAAATGGCTCTCTTCCTCACCTCCTACTAGTCTTGCACAAATGTCACCCTGTCAAGGTTTTCTGACCTTTCAGTTTAAAATTGCAAGTGCCCATCTTCTTTTCTACACGGCATCTGTAACCTAAAACCAGCCATTAAAAGGGTATCCTCCCTGGTGGAGCTTTGGCTTTAAAGTCCAGCACCATAAAGCTAGCTGCAGCTGCTTCTTCAGGAGTTCGAGCCCTGGCCAGGGAGCTGACCCACATAGTGCAGCAGACTTCTGTCTCCCTGCTGCTCCCCTCAGCAGTGTACTTCATCCATCTGCCTGTTCTGCTCCCCACTCTGTCTCTGGTGAATCCTTTCAGTGCCCCTGTTTCTCTGGCCAGTACCCCAGTTCTGTATGAATAAATAAATCTTAAAAAAAAAAAAAAGGGTTATCTCCTCTCCCTAGTCTCAAATAAGAGGCAAAATCTGGACAGGGCCTTGTGATGAAGCTGTGTCCATGTCCATGAAAAGTTGTCTCCTAGCAAGTAGAACTCCCAGTTCCCAAAAGATAAGGCTATAAATTGGGTAAAGTTAACAGTCACTCTCCTTTCCCTCAATGTGTACACAACAGCAAACGGAGACACCGACTGGACATCTGTCTGGATTCTTGAAAATGTTTTCCTGGCAGACCACAAGTTCTTACTGTGAGGCTCAGCACTTCAGCAGCTTGCCCAGCGTGAGCAGGCTTGATTCTTTAAGGTGCTCAGTAAATTAGGGCTCTCCTCCATCTGTTTCAGCCAAGACCTTTATACACATGTCTGCACACATCTCCAACCTGCTTGTCTCACTCCTTACACATCATGGTACCATTGTGTATCTCAGGAAAACCACACAAGGAAGTGTGGTGCCAGAGCTCTGCAGGGGAGAAAAGTAGAGCGCATGGGCAAAGGCACCATGGGTCCTTTTCTCTTGCTTTTCATTTCCTCCCTCCTATTTGCATTTAAAAAATTGACATTAGCCAGCTCTTTTTTTTTTTTTAAAGATTTATGCATATAGAACTGGGGTACAGGTCAAAGGTGTGGGGGCAGTGAGAGGATTCACCAGAGACAGAGTGGGGAGCAGAACAGGCAGATGGATGAAGTACACTGCTGAGGGAAGGAATGGGGAGACAGGAGAGGTCTGCTGCACCCTGTGGGTCACCTCCAGGGCCGGAGATTGAACATGCACTAAAGCAGCTGTGGTCAGCTTGCAGTGTTGTGTCCTGACCTGCCGTGCCACCAGGGAGGAGCCTAGCCAGCTCTTTCTGCCTGCTTGTGTCTCACCGTGTGTCTTACTCTTCTCTCCCTCTATAGTAGCCAGTTCTTTTGAACATATAAAAAATGATGTTAGAGAGTGCCTAAGTTTATGGCACAGACATTATGATGGGCCCTGACTGGGGTGGAAATACAGCAGGCAGGATGGTCTCCTGGAGTCAAGTGGTCATTTAGTGGGGAGAGCACATCCACACCTGTCCTAGCAAGGGAAGATGGGAAGCCACAGGCAGGCAGGGGACAGTGCACCCCAAGGTGTGCAGACTTAGTGGAATGTGTCAGAGTGAGTACATAGAGAACAGACTTGAAGATGAGGGAAAAGACACAGAGAGAAGAGGAAGGGTGGTCTGCGCAAGGCATGTGATGCCCTATTAGAGGTTTGACCATTATCCAAGGTGTGTGAGGCATTGCAAGATCTTAGCCATGGTACTGTGTGCTGAGATCTGGACTCTAGAACTTTCTTGAGTGAGAATTGAAGATGCACTGGGTGCAAGTGACAAACTGGTGGCCTTTAGATGGCTTCTATAGCCCAGATTTATTTTTTTTAAAGATGTATTTATTTGTGCACATAAGAACTGGGGTACAGGCCAGAGGTGCGGGGCGGGGGTGAGAGGATTCACCGAAGACAAAGTGGGGAGCAGAACAGACAAATTAACTGAACTATACTGCTGAGGGGAGCATCTGGGGGACAGGAGAGGTCTGCCGGGCCATGTGGGTTATAACATCCCTGGCGGGGAATCGAACTCGAGCTGCAGTGGCTTCAGAGAACTTCATAGTGCTGGGCTTTAACCCCGGGCGCCACGAGGGAGGTCCGGACTTCACAAGTCATTTTTTGGAACGGAAATTAGTCTAACCACACCTCCTTCATTCACTTTGAGTCAGGGATTACCACGTAGGAGAGGACACTGAAGAGCTTATCTAGTATACAGGAAGGCGACTTGGGTGCTGGAGGTGATTTCCTCAAAGGCTCGTTGCCAATCATGCCTAACACTCATTTTTCAGGTGTGCAGTTTGTGAATCTTTAAGATTCACCATCGCGTTTTTTTTTTTTTAAATTAACCTTTGTGTTTGCTTTCAATATCCTCATTTGTTCACCAGCTTGGATTCGCGCCCCCAGGGGCGACCATCAAAGTTCGCGTTCATTTTTTTTTTTTTAAAGATTTATTTATTTGTACATACAGAACTGGGATACAGGCCAGAGGCTCAGGGGTGGTGAGAGGCTTCCCCAGAGACAGAGCGGGGAGCATAACAGGCAGATGGACGCAGTACACTGCTGAGGGAGCAGCGGACGGGTCAGGAGAGGTCTGCCGCGCCCCGTGGTCACCTCCGGGGCAGGCGGGCATTGAACTCATGCGGAAGTGGCTTTAGCTTCTCAGTGCTGTGCTTTAACCCGCTGCGCCCCCAGGGAGGGCCTCGCGTTCATTTTTGACCTGGAAACTGAAGCCAGTTTACACACGACTGCAAATCACCCTGTTGTGCAGTTTCTGCGATCACCATTACGACCGTCTGCGACCAATGGGAACACTCCTCGTAAACGGGTCACCCAGGCCCGAACGCGAGTCAGTGACGAGGCGTGATGACGTAAGAGGCGGTTTGCTGCGTGGACCCGACGCCGGGGCCCTGGGCCCCGCCAAGCTGGGAAGCGCGATCCCGCGGGAGCAGCGCAGGGCTGGGACGTACGGAAGCCGGGAAGGCGAGGCCCGCCCGGGAGGCTCGCGGCGCAGCCGGCGGCGAGCAGCCCGGCGCGCCTGCGCGACATGCGCAGGCGCGGGAGCGACTCTGGGGGCCGCTGGGCCGCAGTGCGCAGGCGCGAGCGCGACGGCCGGCGTGGTCCCCATGGAGCTGCTGTAGCGGGGCTGGAGCGTCCGCGAGCGTCCGGGATGAGCGCGGCGGAGGCCGACCGCTGGGCGTGGCTGCTGGTGCTCAGCTTCGTGTTTGGGTGCAATGTCCTCCGGATCCTCCTCCCGTCCCTGTCCTCCTTCGTAAGTGCCGGCCTGTCTTCCCGGGGCCTCGGCCCCCCGAGCCCTGCGCGGGTGCGTGTCTCAGGCTTGCTCCGTGGCCTGGCGCTGGGCCGGTCTGGACTTCGAGGCCTTCAGCGTTCCTTGCAGGCTGCTGTGAGGTGCAAAGTGTTGCCCCCAAACCCTGACTTCTGGGTTCCCGGGGAAAAAGCCCACCTGGCAGCCCCGGGCCGCGCCTTCTCGTGGCCTCGGTCCTCGGGCGGCGGGTCCTGTGCTCCGCGCCTGCCGCCCTCGGCTGCTGGGGTGCAGGCCTGGCGCCGCCGGCGGCCTCGGCCTCGTTCGCGGGCGCGGCCGCTGTGCCAGATCCCGGGGAGTCGGGCCTCAGGGTGCAGGAGTCCCCCGTGGTGGAAGGAAGTCAGTGAAGACCGAGCGAGCCCTTGCTGAACCCCGGGGAGTGACGGGCGCTGGGGAGCGCACGCTCTGCTGGGCGTCTTGCACCTGCACGAGCACAGCCGTGTTCAGTTGTGGCCGCGGCGAGGGGCGAAGGTCCCATCTTCTACCAAACTCCCAGAGCCAGAGCAGTGTGACTCGGGGGGTTCAGGGGTCGCACAGAGTCACCCCTCCATTGACTGCCGGGCTGGAGGTGTGATCTGGGATGGCGGTTCTCCTCTTTCTACAGCTTTGTCTGTTCACGAACACACCGCCGCTTAGGGGGTGTGGGGGGAAACGGGGAGGCGCGCCCGTGCAGAGGGTGCCCTCTGTCGCCCACTGTGAGAGTGAACGGCGGACCTCAGACCTTGGATGAGGCGGCTGCGCTCTTGAGCTTTATTCAGCTGCCCCTGACTTTGCTCCGCGCATAGAAATTGGTGGCTGGGGCGTAGGGGCAGGCAGGAGCCGCTTCCTGATGTCTTACCACTGCTCTGTGTGAAGCTTTGTGCTGGGGCCACTACTGAGAGGGACTTCGCTCTGCAACCCAGGCGTTGGGTCTTTCCCGAGGCCGCCTGGTCCTTGGGTAGTGTCACAAGTCCTTCGCAGTGCATAGAAGGGCTGGAAGAGCTGGCCCTTGCCCATCTCATGCCTTTAAAAAACTTCTTGGTAAAATACACTTAAACGCTACCATTTAAACACTTTCAGTGTACAGTGCAGGGGCCTTAAGCCCATCACATTGTTGTCCACTGCCAGAGCTTTCTCATCTTAAACTGAAACTCGGAACCCAGTCAGTCCTGGGCCACACACCCCTCCCCTGGTCACCATCATGAAATCAGACACCATCTGGCCTGTTAAGTCTGGCTCATCTCACTCAGTCTGCTGCTCCAGCTTGGCTTGTGAGGATGAACGCTCTGCGCTTGCATTGCAGCCCACGTGTTGCTTGTCCACTGTTTTCTGATGCGTAGTTGGGCTGTTTCCACCTTCTGACAGTTGTGAACAAGGCTAGAAAGATGATGGACAAATATCCACGTGAGTCTCTGACCTCTGGGCGGTTCTCAGCAGTGGGCTTGCTGGGTCACGTGGTAGACCCTTTGTCTGCTTTCCTGAGAAACCGTGTTCAGCAACGGCGGCACCATTTTACACTCTCACCTGCAGTACGCAGGGTGCTCTTTGCCCTACATTCTCATTCTCAACACTTGTTTTTTTTTTTTTTTTTTGCTCAAAGAAGCTGTGGGGGTTTTGTATTCGTACAATAATTCATCATTTGTTACAGCAGGGAGTGAGGCGTCTGATGGGGCATGGTGGTGACTGTAGCTAATCCACCACCACCTTAGGCTCCTTCATGCCATACCGCCCTGTGCCCGGCACTAGTTTGCTGTTAACAAGGGGCGGCTGCCGCCTGCTGCGTCTGGTGCCCTTTGGAAAACAGGTCACTGGCTTTGTCCTGGGACCGGTGTTCACATACTCTGCTGCCACCCACAGGCCCTTTATATGACCCCTCTCGCCTCTTAGCAGGTCTAAACCAGGTTCCTCTGGGTTGCAGGGTCATTGTCAGGGTTGTCAGGCAGGTTCAAAAGGCTGACATGGGGTCATCTTTGGAGTACAGCCCCATTGCTGGTGGTCGTGGCAGAGAAAGTAATGGGCACCCGTTTCCCCTGGGAACGGGTTTGCGGAGGTAGGGCGGGTAGTGGGAAGCTTGGGGGCCACAGAGCACGCTGGTTGTGTGCAGGGTGAAACCTGCTTCAGCCCCCGTGCTTCCAACTGCAACCTTCCTGAAGCCCTGCCCCCAGCCAGAGGCATGCAGGGGCCATTGCACTGGGTAGGCCACAGGCTGGTCACCGTCCCGAGGCCCTTCGGGAGGCATTGTAAATCCTCAGCCTGGCCAGGTCTTCTGGCCTTGATGCCCCAGCGACTTCAGGGGGGCGGGGTGGGAGCTGCAGGACACTCAGACCTGGTGTAAATATGCCTAGAATTTTCCCCTGGAGTTTTCTTTTTCCCCTTAAAGTTAGCTGGTCAAGGGACTGTGTGTGAAAGCGCCTGGGAGGCTACCAGGACTTTTAACCTGCAGGCAGAAGAGGAGGTGGGGTACACACACCCCTTTCTACGCAGGTGAGGGGGAGGCTCAGGAGGTAGGCGCACTGCGCAGGCGCCACAGGAATGGCAAAGCGGTGGGCGGGGTGTGTGGGGGCCTGTCAGGCTGTGGGAACTGCGCAGGCGCCAGGACTGGCTCGGGGTGGGGGGCCCTGAGGGTCCTGGGCAGCTCCGTGTGCCGTGCAGATGCCCCAAGCCCGCCGTTGGGGG